GGACTAGAGACAAGCACGAAAACAGGATGAGAATGATGTTCGGGACGTAGGTGGCCACGCCGTTTTCATTCCAGCAGGCGTTTAAATTGCACTGATTGATAATCGGGTTGAATTTCTGTTTGAAATGCTCCCAGTTGCACAGCCCCACGTTACATCCGTCGAGCCTGACTAGCTTCTCCGCCAAGTAAAACATAACCTTGTTTGGCTGACTATCGCCGTCGCATCTGCGAACAGAAATAGACGACTTTTTTCTGACTGGCCGTTGTCCATTTCCACCGGCTGTATCGCGACTTTTAAACAATTTGCTCGGTCCATTTCGAGACACTGAGTCATCGGCAACATTCAATTGGATAGGAGACTGGAATAGATCTATATACGCGATAGAAATTTAAACAAAATCTGAGATAGACCGACGCGAATCGAATCGAAATAAGAATCTGGTTTACATTTACATTGCAAATTATATTTCTCACTTATCGAATGATCTTTTTTTCCTTCATTTCCGAAAGAAAGAGAATTTTTTATCAATTTGTTATTAGTATTAAGGCAGTTTTATGTTTTTAGTATGAAACATGATTCGGTTCGCCCCGATCTACCATGCGTTTTAACAACTGCAAACAATGTGTACAAGATAGATCTAATAAAGTGGAATGAAAGTTGATGTCTTTTGATCTTTCTTTCATTTTGATTGACACGTTGACTGGCGCGGTAGTCACCGGAGCTTCAGATTGCTTGAGAATAATTAAAGCAAGAGAATCGATTTCAAATGAAAGTATTTAGTAAATTAAATAGGTAGATAATAGTGTAAGTACTATGATACCAAATGGCCAATAATTATTTCTAATGCCATTTGCCTTTCTTACGAAGGAATTAGTATTAAGTATTACTACACGAAACTCTCGAAATTCTCGCGCTAATCAACGTGTTAATTATCAACAGACTTTTTGAATTATTTTAGAAGAATCTCTTACTTATAAAGCACCGCGATGAGGTTCGCGGCGAAAGGCGATATAAACGACGTCCGCCATTGCCGTTTCGTCATATCCTTGTAATTGTAAGCCGTCAGGTGCGTCTGATCTTTATTTATATTCAGCGTGGTCAGCAGATTTTGAAGGCTTATGATGTCGGTGAAGTAAAACACGCCCTTAGGCTCGGTCATTTCTTGATCCTTCTCCACTTTCCTGTAAGAAGATTCGAGGAAATGTTATTGACGAAGAAAAGACTGGATAAAGCAACGGATTAGTGATAATTGTGATAAAAACAGTTCGATCGAACAATGAAAAGAGCTAACGAAATTACCAAAAGTGATTCATCATGTCTTGCAAAAGCGTACATCCTAGCTGTGCATTGATTTCACGTCCATATCCGGCTTTGTAATAATAGTAGAGATCCTCGCGATATTCCAACACGCTGAGCTCTTCTTTGTTGAAAACAGCACACCACGGAGAAAGTTTCGTCACTGTCCAAGACTTTTCGTAACGGCACATGTCGTACATCGTTAGGATCGAACCTGGAAACTCGGACAATATTAGAAAACCGGCGACGGTTATATGTGCAAAAAATGGAACACGCGTGGCACTGTGCTGGAATATTTATTAGATATGATTCATAATTAATGGAACAACTTTGAATGCTACTTATCAATATGATTTCATATTTTCTTGGAATTAACTTTTATTCCGTTTTTGTGAAAAATTTAATTTTTACATTATTATAAGAAGCGATGATTGAAATTTAAGGTATAAGCAACAGTTACTCAATATAAACGAAATGTTAAATGTTTTAATAAAACATCATTTGACTTAGCGATAAAAGAAGATATTTATATTTATTTAAAAAATAAATTAGCTACAGCTATTGACTTTTACAATAACTGTCTCTTTCGTATCAATTTTAAAACAATACAACGACACGAAAGAGAAATATTTTAATATTAATGTAACGATCAGTATTATAGTTATAGGACTCACGTTTAGAAATATGGTACAAAAATCCCAAACGTCGGCTGATATTCTGTATAAGCGTCTGGAACTCCGGTTCTTCCTCAAATTTGCTCACCGCCTCCGTAGAAACATTGTTGTAGTCGCTGTCCCATATGTTACAGGTTTTATAAGCCTGAAAAATGAAGTTGGAGACCACTTTTCTTCCGTAAAGTCCGCGACGATGAACCATAAGGCACTTCAACGCGAATTAACAGATGTATTTATCGTTCCAACGATCTCAATTACTTACGGAGAGTAAAGTGTCGTTCATAGAAACTTCTTCCATGAACACTGCGTCCGTATCTCCGAAGATACCCTTTACGAACTGCTCCATGCTGTCACGACCACCGGCGGTTTTGAACTTTAACAGAATTTTATTTTTGTCAGAAAAGAAATGTACGTTGCTAGACAAAAGTTTGGGACCACTCGTATATTTGATGGCACACGTTAGAAATTATATAAATTTGTTTAGTAATCTTTATATTGTCAGTTAATATTAATATTGTCGAATATTAATATTAATTGCATAACATTATATATATAAATTACTGCATAATTATTATTATTAGTTATATTATAATATTATTATAATTGTTATTGTTATTATTATTATTTAATATTATTGTATAAATATCATATATTGCGTTTTCAGCTTTTTATTTTTATATTTGACTAATATATATAGACATGTCTATGTTTCGCTTTTATATGCAGAAATCCTTGAGTAAAAATTGTTTTTCAAAAATGGAGGTGTTTCTCTTAACCGACGATCCCAAACTTTTAACCGATAGTTACTTATCCGTTGGTTAACAGAAACGATAAATACCATAAAGTTCTCTGGCGTTACGTTTTCCGGAGTCGATTGCAAAAGGTGAGGGAAGTTGCTTTGCAACCGTCTCGCGAGCAATCTCATATCTTCCACACCCTGCGGTGTCAAAACTTCCGCCCTAGCTGGTACAAGATAATCATCCGGCTTCCATCTCTTCAAGTTTTCTAAGTCTCTATCGCACATGCGACCGTCTGCGAAGAAAATTTTGAGAAGGCCGCGCCGTTAATTGCGAAACGTCTACAGAGTGTTCTGTAATTGGCGGTTCGAACGGGAAGAATATGATGTTACACGAAAGAATGAGTAACAAACGTAGAACAACATTTTGCCATTTGATACTTCATTTTCAAGAGAACCAAGAGCGATTACTTGTGACGCGTGCACTTTACTGAGTACTGGAACCGTAAATTCAATTAATGATACTTTACACGTAGATACATGTAAAAAATGTACAGTAACATTTTGTTGAGACCATGTGTTCAGAAAAAGTTAAATTTTCTTGAAATTTGTTTTCGTTGAAAATTAATTCGTTTCGAAGAGAAACATTTTATTCTAGACTTTTTACTTATTCCATGTAGGACTACTACCTTTTTATACATGATAAACGATACACTCGACAAGAATGGTTTATTAACGAGGAATGTGTTACAGTAGAACAGTTGCTCTAATTTGAAAAGACAGGTCCGTGGAATCAATAAATCTAAGGTACACTGCCGTGAATGCAAGTATATTGATCAACACGTAAAACGACGCGTAGCGAAGATCGATACGAAAAAGTGTCAATGACCTGAATTAGCTGCGGTCTGGTTTACTTGCTTCGCCATTGAAGGGAGCAAATTCTCCTTTGTTTCTTGGACTATTACGCGAAGAAAATCATTTCGGTAGTTTCCACGACACTTCGAAATTTCAACGCGGAAGCTGATAAATTACAATTTAAAAGAGTACGCGGTAAAAAGTAAAAAAAGATTAACATTCTTTTTCAACCATGTTAAATTAATAATCAGCACAAATTCTTATGAATATTACACAATGTTTATACCACATATTCATATTTCTTGTTACCCAAAATTACAAAACGCAGATACCCAAGATAGCGTACTCTCAAATTGACTATTGCCTTCTTACATTTCAGCTACAATCTTACTTAGCAGTCAGTATGCGCACAGTTCGTTCATCCCTAAGACAATGAAAATTCAAATGAGAGAATCTACTTACTGCCTCGTGTGTCATGATTGTTGATTATCTGATTCTGAATTTCCGTCAATGAAAGCATCTCGCTGATCTCCATTTTCGTCGCGCAGCGTGTGCCATGGGTGGCTAGCATCCAAACTTGTTTGGCCTCGCAGTCTACGGTGTAATTGGAGAACAACGTTAAAGCTGCCACCAGTTAAAGACAAGAAAGAAAAAAGGAAAACACTTCTCTATAGTACACTTACTGGGTACGTCTTGGAAGCGTGTTTTGCCGGCATGAACGAAATGATAGGCGGTTTTAGTAGCCATGTACAGGTACGGGTCATTCTCGTCCGCGAAACAGTAATCGAAATCTCGCGTGTACGCGAGATTTATCAATACAACCAGAAGCAACACGGACGCGTGCATTTTCAGCTTCATCGTTGTATCTGGAAGCCAACACATCGAAAGGATTCGTTGAACTCGAAATTAAACGTTTTACATTTCAACATCGACCGAGCACTTCTCCGAAACGCGACACGCCGAGAGAAGAATTCATCAAAATCGAAACCGAACGTTTCACGGTTGAACGTCGACCCTTCTCTGAAAAAGACGATCCGATTCTACTGGTTGCTACCGTACGATTTCTACGCGCGGCTTTACGATCGCGTAAAAGCACATTACCGCCACGTTTCACCGGAACGCGACTAGCCGAGTAAACCTACATTTTCCTGCGCTGATGTCACATGTTCCTTTACCACCGGCGCGTTGTAAATTGCAACCGGCCGAACGTAAAGTTGTTCTTATATAACCGAAAGAATATTCATCCATTTAGATGGAAAAAAAAGGAAGGAGAACGAAGATCAAATTATCCTTGCGTCCTTCAGACTTATATAATCAATAAATCAACACACACAAACACACGCACACGCACATACACACATGAGTGACGTCACGTCCTCCAGACAACATCTCTCCCGATGCACATCCGAGTAGCAATTTACCAATCAAATTATTAATAATAATACCGTCGCAAGATGCGAAAGGCGCAGCCTGAAACGCGAGCGTTGTGTATGAATCGGCACGTCGCGCGGTACGGCGCGGTGTTTGCCGAGAAGCCGGTCCCCGAGAGCTGCATGCTACAGTTTATGGTGCACCAAGGTTAAGGATAGATGCGGAATATGCAAGTGAATGTGAAAGTTAAGATGTGCGCACGGATTACGCACACAGCCGTGCATCTTGCATAATTCCCGGGCAAGAATAAACAGGTTCCGCTGAAGAGGCTAGACCTTAAGATGTGATTATTAAGTTTGCAGTCGATCCGAATGTTTAACATTTGCATTCCATTTATCGGCTCTCGAACCTGGCGGATTTGCATCTGGATCCGCTAAACGTTAGTCCAGGACTTCGTTCGAAGGAAAGCGGCAATTCGAACTTAACGTCCAAACTTCGCTAGCTGCGAGAAACCTTTTCGACTGAAAAACTGGGTATACGTAGAACCATAGAAGTATTTTAATTTCGTTTGTTCATTTCGAGAAAGATAGTTAGCTTCGATATGTAAATAAAAGCATCTCGATCCTCTAAACGTTATCCCAGGTGTCTTATCAAAGGACAATAGCTATTCGAACTTATGCGCCCAGTCTGTGCCAAGTGCGAGTTCAAACATTTCGAACTGAAAAACTGGGTATACATAGATCTATAAAAGTATTTTCATTTTATTCTTGCTAATAAGTTTGTTCACTTCGAGAAAGTTAGCTTCGATACGCAAATAAGGAAAACATCTCGATACGCTAAACGTTAGAGGAGTTCGTTCAAAAGAAAGTATCAGTTTGAACCTATGCATTCGAACTCTGCTAATTGCGAGTTGTAACATTTCAAACTTAAACACTAGCTGCGATTCATAGAGTATTTTCATTTCGTTCTTACAGTAATAAGTCCTAATATCTAATAAGTGCGTTCACTCCGAGAAATCAGATACCATTTAGCTACCTACGATACGCAGATAAGAAAATTGATTACGTGCTCCTCAATCGAATTCGCGGGTAGTCGCTCGGAATCTACGAAGGCGGAATGCGGTTGAACGAACAATCCGTGAGTAAGTATCGCTGAGGATAACGTAATGGGTAGTGGCTCGATTAGCAAAACCTTCTTCGAGTCTAATAAGTCTACTTGGCCTACTTATTGTTAATGTCTCGTGTCCGCAAGTGACGACCGCTGTGTAAACTTAGTACTGATCTGATTTTATCGTGGAGCTCCAATGATTCTACGCTCTGCGATTCCTTTCGAATATGTTTAAAACTATTACTTTTAATCTCTTTTCGTAAATATTGAATTTAAAGAGACACGTTTCGAAGATTCGAAGCGTTTAAGTTCCAACGGAGGCGCAGTTTTTTTATCTACGCCGCTGACACAACACGATTGTTGTTTGTCGAACTGCTCTAATGAATCATGTTCAACCGCGAAGAAGACCAGAACAATTTGGTATCATGCAATAAAGAACGGTGGACAGTAACCTGTACTTGATAATTGAGAACGCAAGTAGGACGTCGACGTTACGCTCGGCGATCCTTGCCAGCGGCATTCAACGGTTTAATTATTCACGGGCGAGTTTATTTATTCAAATGAAATTCCTCGCGGATGAGTGTAATCGGAATTTAATCAAAAGCTGAATGAAATGGACTTTATTACAACAATGCTCCCCTTTCACCCAGGCTGGCCAATTCTTCCCGACCTGCCTCAAATAGCTTTCTCCCGTTACCGAACGTTCGTTAACATTTTTCCTTCATTACGACCCAACGGTGCGCGCAAGTTACTCGGATCGAGATTAATATTAATAAATACCGCTCGCCTCCATTACGCGGCAATTATGTTCTGGTCATTTATTGAATGGGAATTCTTCTCACGTTCGTGGTGCAATGACCCGTATATAGACCACACTGATTTCAATTAAACATTTTGTCAAGCGTTTAGTTGGAAACGGTATCGCTAGATTAAATGGGAGGCCATTTTGAAACCGTGTAACGACAATATATAAAAATTATTTTCCCGTAAATTCAAGCATTTCAAATAGTGAACTTGTCAATTTCTTAAATTATCCAAAACACGATAATAGTATCTAAAATAGAAATATATAAAATTTCTTGAATGCTAAATAATCGATATTCGAAGGAGCCGCATTCCTCGACAGCGGTTCGATTGAAAGACCCGTCGACAAGTTCACCAGATTCTACGCACAGTGTAGCCACGATGAAAAATTTGTTTTCATCGCGAAATTACCCGCAATTACGGAGACCGGTATTTATCTTCACGCCCTGTTTCGGCGCGCTGTATCGAGCACACGGAAAGGAGCTGGACAGAGAGAGTAGTGCGGTTCCCAGGCAGCGCTAGCTTTTCACTTTTCCTCGTCCGACAGACGCGGCTTCCTTCTCCAGCTAGAATAATCTCAAAAATACGTTTCACGAGCACACGGAGCACAGTCGATTCCTCAACGTGTACCGACGGTCCTTCTCAAATTACATTATCAAGGGAATACAACGAAAGGGAAGAGGATCCTCTCTGTAATCCTTACCGGAGAACCGGTATCAACTTTGCGTATCCGCGGCGAACATCCGAATGGCGCGTCACGGATTTTCAAAAGTTCACTGCGGTTCGTTAGCGGACGACTGGATCCCAGAGGGTTCGGCTGCGATTCGAACGATCCCGAAATTCCGTTGTTAACACGTCGCAACCGTGCGTCAAAATAGAAGTGAACCGTGAAAATAACGCGAAGGACGGGCGACTCTCGTCTATATGCCGATCGCGAACCACCTTTCGAGGCGGCAGCTTGTGTGGCACTGCCGTAAGGTCGACGAGCTTCGTTGCTTCCAGCGTATACTGTGTGTAAAAGTCGTATAGTCCCGACAATATAGTCCCCCTTGAATAGTACATTACGGATTGTGGCCTCTGATCCTTTCCTGGTACGGCATAGTATTTCGTGAGTTACCATAAAATCGCGAAGGTTCGTTACTTCGAGCACGCACGATCGATAAAGGGGTAGGTGGGAACCCCTTGGACGTTGCGTTAAAATCGGCCGTTGAAATACCTCTTCTTACGCCCGGCGCGAACGAAAAAAATAATAGGCGCGGGTAAAGAGAATTTTTCGCTGTGCCGCCGCTCGAAATCGTCGATCCGAAATCTGCCAAATGATGTTCGCGGGGATCGACAGGTTTAGATTTCAAAATGCATGGGATAGCTTCAGGAAGAAATGTAGTTACTGTGATCCATAATTCATTGACTCGGTGCAGCTGTCGATGGAATATTTTCCCCCTTTGTTGTCACGTTTTGTTTAGATTCAATGATGGTTTTCTGACATTAGGAAATGAATGCTACAAGAATTACGAACGAATTGAAATAGTATGAATTAATTGCAGTTATTCGTTTTGAAGATTAGAGTAATCGAATGGTTGTTTAATGTTTGTTAAGGTTCCTGTTTTAATGTTGTCGTCTTTAGTTGCTGATTATTTTTGTAAAAAATAATGATATTTGTGTGACGACTGGTTTTCGTGTTGATCAGTCAATTATTTAAGAAAGTGGTGTAATGTTCCGTTAAGTCCAGTAACTCGTCACTGCGATTTTTGTTCTATGACGTAAGCAATTGCTATCATGCTTCCTCTATAGCAAGGGAATCGCTATATTGCTCGTGTTATGGAATTCTTCCACGGCTTCTAACGCTTTCAATAATAGCTTTCAACTATTATGAGATGTAGAATATTTCAGTAAATGTTATTTAATTAATAAAAATATATAACCAGCTAAAATAATAGAAAATATTGTACAGAAAGCTGCGAAAAATTATTAACAGTGTTGCATTATTATCTACTACAATGTTAAAGAGTATACATCTCTGATAATAATGACCATTCGTCACGGAAGTTCAGGTGGCACTGACATAAGGTCGTCAAGCTTCGTTGCGCCGCACCTGAACATTCTATACAATTGGTGTTCTGTTAAAACTATAATGTCCCCACAATTGACAAACCTACTACAATATATTATTTACTTTACCAGTTAATGCTCTATCTATTAAGAAATTAAACATTAAAAAACATTTTCTAAATCAGAATAAAAAAGAAAATTCCTACTATCAACGATCAATAATTAATATTGCTATGAATATTTTAGTATCAAAATATTGTAATACGATTTAAGAGCAATTACACAATAAGGTTTTTAATAATTTATCTTATTTTTCCCTTTCGATTTCAATGTTTATGTGTATAATAAAGACAAATTATTATTAAAATGAACTTTTGTTTGATCTAATTGAATTATCGAGTCGACAGTAATGGCAATAGTGATAAATTAGAAATACGGGATAATATTTACATGCGAACTGTTACATTGATCTCACGTGATACCGTTAAATGGTAATATGTTAGAACGTATAAAGATCATCGTTTATCACGCCAGCTTATGTGAGAGTAATATAAGGTCGTCGAGCATCGTTGCCTTCAAACATGTGCACACATGAATCAGACATTTTATGACACTGTAATTTCTTTGACACAATCGCTTACAAAAGCACACTTGATATGCTCGGTAATCACCTTAACGCGGCCGTTTTTATTGTTACCTCATTAGAAGTATTTATGTAATTTACTTTCGGGAACTTTTCAGTGAACGTGATTGATTCGACCATGAAAATTAACGCTGTGGGTGAAATAATTTTACCATCTATTCTTCGTTTCTGCGTAGACTTTATTTGTTGAATTTGTTTAACATTGAAAGCGGAGAGAAGAAGAACAATCAGAGAACTTACGAATCACCATTCAGCAATTCAGATCTGACAAAAATCTATGTTGCAATCGAATCCAGGAGTTTTCAGTTTCTGCTTTAAGTAATCCCAATCGCAGACGCCCATGTTGCAGCCTTCCATATCCAAAGGTTTTTCGTTTAAGTAAAATTTAACTTTGTACGTGGAGTCGCATCTGAGAAGAATAATTCGTTGGAATAAAACTGAATAAATCGATTGGATTAAGAAATTATATATCAGAGTACGCGTACTTGTAGAAAATAGCTGCAATGTTCGCTGCGAATGGGGCGAGGTGGGAAGTACGCCATTTTCTGTCTCCCATAGTTGCGAAGTTCGAAGCTTTCAAAGGCGTAGAGTCTTTCGCAACTCCCATCGACGATAACAATAATTGTAACATTGTGCTATGAGTGAAATAAAAGATGCCTTGCGGCTCGTCTTTTGCATCTCCTTGCTCTATTTTTCTGAAATTGTAAAGAAACAAGTAGTAGAAGAAATAGAGAATATTATAATATAACATCAATGTAATAACAATGTTATGATATAGTATCAATGTTATAATATAGTATCAATATAGTATCAACATTATAATATAGTAACAATAGAGAAAAAGTAGATCGTGTTTCTCCAAAATACTGCAAATGCAATTTTAATTATGAAACTTACGAGAAATGTTGGAACATGTCTTGCAAAGGTCTGCATCCGATCTTGGCGCTCATAGGTTGCCCGTAGCTGGCGTGATAGTAATAATGAAGATCTTCTTCGTACTCAAAGACTTTTAATGAATCCTCTGTGAAAGCGGCACACCAAGGAGATAGTTTGTCCACGAACCATGCCCTTTCAAATACGCACGCAGTGTACATGGACAGAACAGACTCTAAAAACGATTAATTGAGATCGACCATCTTGTCTGATATAAAAGTAATGACTTCTTTCGCCAGGAAACGTACCGAAAGGAAGATCATTTTGGAAACCAAGTCGTTCGCTAACTTTATGAACTACTTGTTTAACCTCCGGTCCACTCAAGAAGGCGTTAACTTCAGCATTGGATGATGGATCTTTGTCTACTTCTATCCAAGGCTTACAAATTTTATAAATCTATAATCAAAGCAAACTTGTTTAGGTAAACAAGATCAAAAGCTACGCTACACATGTTCCATTTGTTTCACTCGTACCTTTAACAAAGTATCTTTTTCTGTTGGTACAATTTCGGTATTATTGAAAAATACATCGCCGAAAAGGCCGTTAATGAAGAAGTCCATGCTAGCTATAGTTCGCTGAATATCTGTCGATCTGAACTGTGTAAGAATGATTGTTGGAATTTAGATAATTGTCCTTGAAAGAATGGTTTCAAACGTATCAATGCTAAAATATAATAATTAAAATGCTTAGATACCTTGTACTTGTTTTCTGGTATAGGGTCTGACTGAGATTGCAAAAGCTGAGGGAAATAAATTTTAAATCGAGCAGCGAGTGATTTTAAATCCTCCTCGCCTTGCTTTGTCAAATACTTCGCTGTTTCTTTATGAAGATTTGGATCGATCTGCCAAGCTTTTAAATTCTCGACATCAGTTTTGCATAAACTGCCTCCTGCAAACAGGCGCAAGGATAAAATACGAGCAAGGAATACTGAGAACTAATAAAAAATAATCCGTTTTACAATTCCAATCTCGAGTGACATAACAAGCCGTTGAATATGTTTAATGTTTCCTCGGCGTTACTTACTTCCGTGCTTTTCATGATTTTCTATGATATTATGTTGAAGGTCTGGCAATATTTTCTTCATTTTTTTTATTTCCGATTTTCCTGAGTAACGCGTTCCGTGTCTTATTAACATCCAAATTTGCACTGGTTCGCAGTCTAAAACGAAATTTGTAACAAAACATTGTAAAATCTGTTACGAATTTGGCTGTCTTTAATTATAGATTGTTCATTCTTACTTGATACAGTGGAGTTCTTTATTGTACCGTGCGTAAAGTAATAAGGCGTTTTGGTACCATCGTACAAATACGGATGTTTATCAACAGAATAGCAATAATCGGCATCAACATCGCTTAAAACAAATTGATTCTCCAGCGATACGAATGCAATCAGTACTGTGAAGATTCTTATATCAAACATTTTGTCAATATTAAAAATGATCTCCTACTTGAAAATATCTCCCCAGCCTATAATTAAAAATAAAACGGAAAGATAGTCAATCTTTGTAACCTCTTAAACTTCTTGTTAAATTACAAAATACAATACGGTATAAAAAAACTTATATTTACTTTAGTAGACTTCCGTGAAGCTAATGACAAATTACAATTTTGACATATTGCATTATGCAGATGAGTGCATAAATTATTTTCTAAATGGTGAAAACTTTTAACGTTTCTAACATTGTACGATGAAAACATACAATACACATGGCCTTCATAAATTTCTGATATTTGCAATTTCGATATCATCTTACTTATGTTTCAAAATGTCGCGATCACCATTTTATTTAGTAACAAACGTTATAGTTATGTACTATGTGGGTACATTATTTTAAGACAATATTTCTAGATTATTTCCTTTCTATGAGATACTATAAAAATTACTGTGTTGGAACATAAACATAGAAACATTACGAATATGTTCACTATAATTTACAAAGCAGCTTATAAAATCTTTGTGTAACTGTATTATACAGGGAACACATATAACAGATTATATTATGAGGACTCGATACTCACGTGTGACTGCCGAGACGACTGATCAAGAACTGATTGCCTATCCACCTACTGTCCCGTGCGATTTACAGATAAAGATGTTAAAAACCGAACGGTTTACCTCTTTTATAGTAACCACCTCATGACTTCGAAACACGTCACAGGGCGCCGGAGGCGTTAATGGTTGTTGGGCACAGATAAAAAATTTTCGAATGTACATTAGAACTTCTAACTGTTCGTACAAAGAATATTATTTCACGTGTCTGAACTGCCTATCTATTTACTTTATTCTTCTAATAACTGGAACAAGTGTTGAAGCACAGAATTAAGTATTAAACACGCATAGTCTTAAACATTAAATGTTTTTCTAATGTTTTTTATTAAAAATCTTAATGTGTACGGAAAACTTAAATTTTAACTGTATTATAAAGTAAAGTAAATTTGTGTTATCTGAATGATAATTGCGAACAAGTAACTTTGTAATGTTACTCATTTATATTATTCAGTATTATTGCGATTAATAATAATTTGTTGCGTTTAATATTTGTTAAAGAATGTATTAAACTTATTATAAAATGCGATAAAAATATATATATTTTCAAGATGAAGTAATAAATAATTTAGGAATGAATTATTTTTTAAAATATTACTCTGTCAACTTCTGAAGGTTCAGTAACAAATGTATTTTCTTTTAAGAAGTTATTTTTAAGGTGTACCGATTAATCCAAGCGCTGAGACCATCGATTACACAATTGGGATTGTATAGATATCAGAATAAGTAAGTAACCAGACGTAGGATCTACTAAAAAAATTATCATATCAATAGGCAGAGATGAGGTAATAATTTCTTTAATGCAAATCACTGGAGACGGTGGGTATACATGATTTAAATAATAGCACACGCACACCTGTTGATTGTTACCATGTGTATCCTACGTAGGTAACATCTTTTTTATTAACAAATATAGCATGTATACTTATTCACTGATGAACTACAAAATTATTGTGATTTATGAACATAAAATCACAATTATAACATTACAGAAAAACAGAAATTAAACGAAGAATTGAAATAACAATATCTGACAAATTTATTCGTAATAAATACCGAATACACAACAGTAAGCGTGAAATGTTCGAGCTTCGTAGGAAAATGTAGAATAATTGTCTTTCTCGGAATCCCAGAGAAATCCCACTGAACTTTGGATGGATTGTCCTGTCTTTTCTATAATAGTCACATTAACTACAATTTTATATCTAAAACGAAGCACAGAAATTTTAATGAATATAATAATTAACTTGGAACAGCATTTCGTAGCAAACAGTTTAATATAATAAAATAAGTAATATAACATAGTCTTTTATATTAAATACCTGTCAAAGTTTAATTTCCTTATTTTTTCTTTAATATCAGCAGCCACTGATTTACAAACTTGAGGGCAAGTTGTTGCATCATACGAGATATCTTCGAGTTTATTAATCATTGTTGTCTCTACAATTCTATCCACTGGATCAATTTTAAAAGGATTGTGAGCTTCTAAACGGTACGTGTTGAGGTACTTTACTGCCTAGAAAAAATTAGTTAATTGCTATTGAATTTGACAAAACGGATGTTAATTCTTCTAATTTTTTAATAATTTTTCTCGTTCGTTAATATTATGAAAATTGTAAAAACCAATAACACTAATATTTATGAAATTTTCCCATCGTGTAATCATTAATTATAATAATTTATTTATAGAAGACATTTCTATAGGTAAAAACAAATAAATTATACTTCTTACCTCCCTTTCATTGTCCTGAATTTTATCATTCACGTCTGAGTGTAAAGGCATAATGTATCGATTAATTAATAAAAAGTAGAAAATTCCAAATGTTAATGAATATATCAAACACCGATTAACTGTAAACTCAATAATTAAATACTGTTACACCTGTGTCAATTATACTTGCATTGTGTACATACATGCATAATACTACTTCACAATGTCATGTTACTTGGGTAACCGAAATAAACAGAATTGATTGATCAATAATTGTAGAATAAAATATAATCAATATAAATATTTTCTCAAGTAAATATTTATATCTAATGTTAAAAAATTAAAAACGGAAGTTTCTTTACTTTTTCATCTTATATTACTACAATATTATTCATACAGAGTTGATGTGATAAATTTTTATTAATAATTTCAAATAAATTTCTATATTTTTATTCAGTTTTTTAAATATATTATTTACATTGTTTGGGTTTATTAATACGTAGGCGCAAAGATTTCAAATTGTATCGATTTCAAAGTTATATCGAACTAATTTCGATTATCGAACGATTAACGCATTTTTGAAATTGATGCGTATTTTGATAGTGTAACGTGTATGGTTTTTAAAAATGCAAGATTGTTGGAATGTTGTTAATTATTGAAAAATAATGTATTTGAATAAGAAATAATGAAATAATATTTATATTAAGTAAAAAATTTATATATATTATTCTTGAAAGTGAATGGAAATGAAAGTATGAAATCGTTGCCGTACTGAGGTTAGTTTAATTTATTGTAACTTAAATTATATTGTATTTTATTTGTTTAACATGAAATTAAATGAGATTATAAATGTATTTAGTAATATCAGCGTTTAAATAAACATG